TCTTTTCTGCATGTGATTTGCATTGTTGCCTTGCTGTTTCTGATCAAATTAATGCTCAAAATGTAGCAGGACAAAATCCATCCCTGATGTAATTCATCAGTGTTGCTGCAGTTGCACAAGGCATGAATTCAACCCGCTATTTCTTGGATTTTTAATTTGATTGGTTTATTCATTTCCTATTTTTGCAAAGCGCTTTGATGCTTACAAAAACCACTCAATCAGACTTCCAGAAAAGTATTACTTTTTGCCTCATTCCTCATTTTATATTATTACNNNNCCCCCCCCCCCCCCCCCCCCATAAAATCAAGATCTCATTTATTAAGAAATCATGCCTTCCATTGCCTGTTCTCCTAGGTTAACATTTTCTCCTACAATGAATGCTCTGAGCTGAGCACCTGAAATCAACCTCAGGCACCTCAGTGAGTGGCCTGATTTTCAAAAATGCTGAGCATCTTGCAGCTCCCATTGACTCCAATTAGACCTGCCGGCTCTCAGCACTTTTAAAATCAAGCCACATATTTAGAGCCCCAATTCAGCACGGCATTTGCATTTGTGCTTAAGTCCATCCTGATTCAGCAAAGCACTTAAGCACGAGTGTTTTTAGATCCATTGAAGTCAAGTGCTCTGATGCTTTGAATAAAAATAGACTCCTGGATTGGGGCCTAAGAATCCAAAAACAGACACCAAAGCCTAATTTTAGGTTCTATTTGGAAAACTTTGGCCTTGTGTACCACCTTTAACCTTTAATGCTTACAGGAAACACAAGAACAACCAACAGGTCATAATCAGGTTGAAGGAAAGGAAAACAGAAGCTATGGAAAGTTCTTCCTTGGAGAGAAACTTTTGCAAAATGTAAATACAAAGCTAGCATTCCCCTTCCAGAATCTCATTCAAGATTAACATGCAGTTATTCTATTGTCCTTCACCATTAATTAATAAACTGTTATATTAAACTTTAACCAATACAACTTCCCTCTCTTTTTCATAAATCCTACTGTCACCATTGATATTCCATGTTCACAAGCAAACTAAACTATAAATCAATTTTCTCTACTTTATCAAACAGCAGAAAGTAATAAAGAAGGTCACAAATAGTACAGCAGTTCCTTGGAGGTTTGTAACATCATAATTTAAAGCTCAGGAAGATTGAATCAAAAGTTGAATTAATCCCTAAGGGAAAAGATTCTATATAGATTCTATTGATAGACACAGGGCGGCCTGTCTTCGCTGGGAAGTGGTATATTTGTTCATACTGTGGGACAAAGGAAACCAGGCTTCTCAGCAAAGAAAATGAAATCCTCGGCAAGAGGAGGTGGATGTATCCTCTGCACTTCCAGTTGCTTTGCTCTCCTCGTACCATTCTGCTGAGAAACCAAAGGAATCTTTTTATGCACGATATGCTTTTCTGAGTGGCTGCTGTCTGCATAATGCAATTATGGAAAGCGCATCTGAATGGAATACATATATAAATTGTAAATGTTGCATTTCATCAATGTTTATTCCTAGACTGATGCCTTTTCAGATGAACAACTTCAACCCAAAATCAGAGCAGTATGTGAACCAAAGCAAAATGAAAGGTTATTTTTTTCAGTAATAAATTTTGGTGAGGTTACAAATATTTCTTTTGAAGCTGAGAACGCATTTCTCAATGCATGTTTAGCTTTTGGGCGTCCTTTGAATGACTGCAACTTCCCTTCAACATGCTTTTGTAATCATAATTTTACAAAGGAATTTCTGATTCCATGCTTAAAACATGTTAAGAGCCTTTGTGATGTGACTGG